GGATGGTTTGGTTTTTAACGTCACCCCTATAATTTAATGCTAAGCATAAAGCCCTCAACAAAGGCTTTTTGTTTTCTTCTCTTTGTGTGGGCAGCATCACAATAAACATTTGGCCTCCCGGGATAGATCTGTTTAATAACGTGCTTCCTCACAGTGGAATAGAGCCAAGAGAGCAGCTGTCTGTCTCTGCTTGTTTTTGATGTTTTACAAAACCTCTTATGTCCGATGTTCAATTTGATCAACACAACTGGCAACGACGTCAGCTGAGAAAATAATCCTCCCAAGACCAAGGGAGGAAACTAAAGAAAACCAGAATTAACTATTTGGTGAAATAAATTGCAAACACCATTGATGTCACTAGGGGTTTCCACTATAGCAGTCCCAGCGCTGCAGGTTGATACCAGGAGGAAGATATTAGGACCAAGAAGGAAGCTGCATGTAATTATTTTAATGTTGGAGGCTTTAGAGTTGTTGAGGAGAATGAATACAATCTATTAAATGACACTTAGTGAAATTGTGACAAGGGTTTATAATATTTGCTGATAGAATAAATGTATTATAACTTAGGTAGAAATAACATTTTGGAACAAAGTCAATATTGAAAGTCCCTTCAAAACCCACAAACAAACTTGCATAAAAAGAAGAAATGTTTTTCCAACTTGAGTATAACACAAAATAAAGTTAACAATATCCAAATTATATTTTCATTTGAAAAATTCTCCTGAGGGGAATTTTAGATTACATTGATTTAATTTTTGGGAAGTGTAACAAAAACATAACCAGTCCAAATTCTCCCGTTATCGACACCTACTGGTCGTTCCTTCAAACTGTCACCCTTGCAAACGTTTCCACAGGAATTTTATGTGTTCTGATGGGTTTAGTTAGTTTGACAAATCCGGTAGTCTGCTATCCCTCAGCAGAGGCAGCTGTGTGTGATCTTCAGTCTTTCAGTTGTTATATAATAATCAGTCTGTTAGTATGAACACCAAGTCTTTGCAAAACCAGTGTCCCCAGTTTTACAATTTATTGTTCCTCATTTTTTGTAAATTGGGATTTAACTAGAAAAAAAGTACCCATCCAACAAAATAACTTCCACAATCCATGCATGTGACTGAGACTTCAGAGTAGATGGCAAGTCTCCACAACGGAGCAGTGCTGAGAGGGCTAATGCGCTCAAAGTGCAAACATTTGGGTATTAAATACCCAAATGGTCTGCATATCTGCATTTTTTATTTTCTTTTGTTCTTCTGTAGGGTTTGCATGTGTTCCTGCACGAATACTGACAAAGTTCTTAACCATTCGTTATGAATCTGGATAGGCTTTTGGATAATTTTGCAACAAATAAACGCACGGAACGGGACATAAATAAGACCAGGGCCATCTGGAATGGCCAGTTTCCATTTTCAAGTACCTCCGTCCTTTGGGGGACAGCAAAACAATGGCACCATCCACCACAACTGGCAAGAAAGATCGGCTAACAGACAAACCAGCTAGCTCCAACGTCACTGCACATAGAACAGGATCTAAGGTGTGTTTTTAATTAGAACATGAAGAACAGGGTGTTCTGTGGGGAATACAGCACCCAATTAAGTCCTCCACTTTTTATACACACTGCAGATGGTTTAATACATATTACTGTGGGTGTTTCTGTCATCTGTTTCACTGCTGGGCTGGTGTGCCACATAGTTGAGGCGATAGCAGCAGAATATGAAGAACATCTAAATGTATGTATATAAAGAATTCATACTAGTTTATATTATAATCACAAACACAACCCTCATCACCACTCGTTTTAGCCTCTGCACCCTTCTTACTGTGCATCATTGCTTATATTCTGGCTCAAACAAATGGCTGAAGCTTTTGCAGCAGGAACGCTTGCTCTGATGGAGTTGTACTCCTCAGGGTAAAAAATGTCTGTCTGAATTGAAGGTAATGCTTCAGAAGCCACGTCGGAACCTGTTTAAAGATACTTGTGAAATGTACTACTAAAGCCAAAAATAAGAAAAAAATCCCACTGGCAATAAGACGTTTGTGTCAGTTCTCATTGTTTACAATTATTCTTGCTTTCTACCAATGACACTCTAAGATGCTGGGTAATTTAGATGTTCACCACACAGAAATTGTTTTTTAAACATATTAAAAAACATATTTGGTCAAATCCTGCAAGGGAATTCTGATGTTTTTTTTTTTTATTCTTCTGTTTTTTTTAATAATTGTACAATTGTTTATTTCTTTGAACAAAATGCATTAAATTTGTTGTTATAAAAAAAAAAAACAAAAGCAGTTCAGTCAGGTTGGAATCTGGACTTTGATTAGGCCTTTGCAACAGTTTGCTGGTATTGCCACCTGCAACACTTTCAGCCAGCCAGAGTTTTTGATTTCGTTAACGTTTTTTTCATCTGTCGATCAGCATCTGGCTGCTACTTTTCCTCGTAAATCCTATGACAGCAGAAAGAGTGCAATTACTTTTTCCACACATGGCTTGTATATTTTGGCTTCCATGTTGTTTAATAAAACAATAAATCAGTGTGAAATCTGCTGTAGGTTTCTTTGCACCTGAGGTTAGAAGTAAATCGTTTCGGTATCCGTTAGAAAGGCCAGATCATTTTCATAATGACCTCATACACAAAATAATTTAAAGAGAGATCTTTTCATAAACATTTTAAGACTTTGCAAAAGGTAGGGGCTCTTCCACACAAAGACAAGAAAAAGTGATATAGGTCAGTATGAGTGCTCTATGGATAAAAAAAAAGTGCCTTTAGGTTTGATTAAAGTTTTTTGCTGTTCACTTCACACACACCTGCCTTCATACAGCCCACTCTTCCAATCCTAGTGATGTCCCTGGTGACAGGTAATATCTAACACAGCTGGAAGATGAAAAACATTGAGCTCATGTCATTCCAGTTCTAATTTAAGTTTAAGCTGAGTTTTATTTAAAACTAGGAAGAGAAAATACTAAACTTTTTTCTGGAGTTTTAAACGTGGGAGTCATTACAGTGTGGTTGTTTTTTCATCTTCATGAACCTGCCTACAAATCCTGATGACAGTTTTTCTTTTCATTTGAAACACTATGGTACTAAGATGTACTTCATTGCCAAACTTTTCACTCATCTGCCTTCATAAACGTCTGAATTTGAATCACATGCCATTCTTAATCTATATGGTTTGATATGATGCCAGCATATTCTATGAATGGACTGATTATCTTATTATAGTACTATTGTTTAATGTACTGAGCTCTTGAGAGCCAACTGTTGTTTCACAAATGTTTGTAGAAGCAGGCTGAATGTATAAGTACTGGATCATGGAACTGTGGCCACAGAAGTGACTGAAACACCTGAATGCAATGACTTCGAGGGTTAGTGAATGCATTTGGTAATACAGTGTAGCTCCAGTTTGCAGTGATAGATTTTGTATTTGCAGCAGTGAAAACAGAAAGCATCGGTGGTGCACCAGCACCAACACTGGAGTCAGTTTGGTCTGTGTGGGTTTGCACAATCAGAACCAGCATAGTATTAATTGATGAAATGATCAGATAATTGGTTATAAGGAAAATTTGGAGAGTATTTATCCCTACTAGCAATCTCAAGATCTCTTTTTGCAACATGTCCTACTCCTAACAAACATAATTGTTGTACCTTGCTAAGACATATCTGTGCAGTACAATGACCTTTAAATAACAACATACTGTTTTAGTGAGAATCCTGAGAAAGACCCCATGAGCAAGTCACTGCATACTGGCCAGGATGAAAACACCTGATCAATAATTCATTCTAAGTGATGGACTCCTGCTGATACTCTAACAGGAGACAGAAAGAAAGAGATATATGGAAAGTCTCCAGAAGCGCTTAAAATGAAAGAGCACAAAATTAAGTGGGAAGGAAATGACAGATCACCATAGATGAAAAGAGAAACAATGAAGGAGAAATACAGATTGAAATCATTCACAATTAAATTTTCCCTACATGCACTTCAATGCATCTGACAAGCACCACTAGGCTTGCTCGACTGAGCTACATTTAATGCTTCAGAAACAGTCTAATTTCTTTTTTGCACATTTTCACCACATAGGAGATTTCAGAGAAAGAGTGAGAGGAAGATAGAGATGAATAGATATTCAAAGAGACTGAGAGATGAAAATGGAAATACAGAGATAGGCTACACATGTAGCTTAGGGGAGGGACTGGGAGCCAATAGGTGACAGAGTTGCTACCCAGGATAAAACAACAAAGATCAATAAGTGGATCAGGAAGATGACCTCCAGAGATGAAGCACTAGGTGAACATTTCAGACTGCACAAACCTGAAGTGAAAGACAAGGAACCACCATGGAAGGATAAGGCCCTGCAAGCATGCACCACTGGTAGATTGAGGAAAGCCTACCTGTGGTTTAAGGCTGGACTGAAGAACAGTATAGAGGCACTAAAGTGCAGCACAACAGCAATAGATAACTGACACTGCCCCTGACACCGTTAGCCACATCATACCAAGATGTAAGATGAGCACCTCTTCTAAGAGGTGTAAGATGTTGGTATGACATCACCTTTAAGGTAGTGGAGAATAAGCGATCTAAAATCATGCATAATTAATCCACACTGACCAACTGGTGAGAACTAAAACAGCAAGGCTTTTAGTGAAGAACCCAGACTCGAACTGCATGAGAAAACGTTTCTACGCCCTAAAATGCGGTCCAAAAGGGTAGTATGATGTTACAAATAAGTTTTCCACAGACTTATTCTGTGAACCAGCATGCACTGCTTCAGAACCAGCATTCATTTCCAACACACATAATGAAAGAAGTAGGATGGTCAGATTTCCAGTCCATCACAGGGCAACAGAGACAGGAAAGTCATCTAAAGTCACCCATGCACACACTCATTCACACCTAATTAGAATTTACAGAGTCCAATTAACCTAACTGTCATGTTTTTGGACCGTGGGAGGAAGCCAGAGTACCCAGAGAGAACTCACGCATGCACGGGGGGGAAGCATGCAAACTCCATGCAGAAAGACCCCCATCCGGGGGTCGAACCCAGGACCTTCCCTCTGCAGGGCAACAGTGCTACCAATTGTGCCACCGTGCAGCCCTCTGTTTTTACTTCTTTGTGTCATGTACAAACAGTCCTTATTTGCCTCTAACTACATCTGTAATCATGTCAGTGAGTTCCTGCGTTTCCTTTATTTCTTATTTCAATCGGGTGATTTATCTTATAGAGCTAAAAGTGCTGTCAGTATTCAATTATTTATCTTTTTTGTAAATATCCTGAGTAAATGTAATACTTTCTCATGTCTCTTTCTTTGCACCCCCCCTCTGATTTTGTATATAGAGTATGGCTAGCCTGCAGATGGACTATTCCTGGTCAGGTGTTGTGGGATTTATTGTAGGCGAAACATCTAGTAAGATAGCAGAAGTCGCAGTAACAGTCTTTTTTTTCTCATAATGTCTAGAAAGCTTTATTTTTCAGGTAACTGATTTGCAATTTAGCAACATTTATAATTTTCCTGTTGAGATAATCACACACTTAAGGACATGTCCTTGCGAAGCTATGGTACTACCACTGTTTGCAGCTCCACATACAATCAGATGAAGCTTAACTCAACAAGTGTGTGTTGAATATGCATTTACTTTGGTTTACTTTAACTTAGATACATGAATTGTAACAGTTACTTCCCTGTATGATGGTCTGGCCACTCTTGACTGCCTCCTTAAATAACAGAAAACTATGTGCTGAAAGTATTTGTAAGAGTAGAAAATGCCAGATCAGTATTAGTTTATATAATATTAAAAATAAAATATATTATACACAGGGTTGGTCAATGAAATAAAACCTTTTTAAACACATAATTTTTTAGGTTTGGGGCCTCCTTTTTGCGCCCAATACAGCCTCAATTCGTCTCTGGAATGACATATAAGTCTGCACAGTGTCAGAGGGATTTTAAGCCATTTTCCTGCAGGATAGTGGCCAGGTCACTACGTGATACTGGTGGAGGAAAACGTTTTCCTGACTTGCTCCCCCAAAACCCCCCAAAAAAAAAAGGGGTCAAAAATTTAGATTGGTGGGCGTGCAGGCCATGGAAGATGTTCAATTCACTTTCATGTTCATCAAACCAATCTTTCACCGTCTTGCTGTGTGTATTGGGGCATTGTCATCCTGATACATGGCACCGCCTTCAGGATACAATGTTTGAAACATTGGATGCACATGGTCCTCAAGAAAGGTTCGGGACCTTGGCAGTGACGCGCCATCTAGCACAAGTATTGGGCCAGGGGAATGCCATGATATGGCAGCCCAAACATCACTGATCCACACCCTGCTTCACTCTGGGCATGCAACAGTCTGGGTGGTACGCTTTTTGGGGGGCTTCCCCACACCGTAACTCTCCGGATGTGGGGAAAAACAGAAAAGGGGACTATCAGAGAACAAAAATGTTTCACATTTCCACACCCCAAGATTTGACCCCTTTGCCCCTTAAAAACCAACTTTTGGCTTGGCTGAGTCCCCCAGGTTTGGTTTTAAGCAGCCGGCCGTGTATATTTGACCTGGGGAGTCCCACGGAAAGTTTGGTGGAAAGGGGAGATTTTGAGGTGCACTTTTAATTTCCGTGTTTTGGGGCAGCCGTGGTTTTATGTTTTTTGGATAAATCTGGGTTAGCACCAGAACATTTTTCCAGACAGCTTCCTCTTGCTTCCACAGTTAACCCTGTTGGATGTGTTCGTCCTTTGGTGGTATGCTGACATTACCCGGATCCCGGGGCTCTTATACATCACAAAGACTTGCTGTCTTGGTCACAGAGCCCCAGAAAGAGGCACCAACTTTTTTGTCCTTTTTTAAAAATCTGGTATGTCACCCATAATTGTGTTTTTCAATATTCTGAGAAAAAATGTGCTTTTACCCTGTAATTAAAACCTTTCACCTCTCTTTTCTGGTGCAATGTGCAATCAATGAAGACTGGCTACCAGGCTGGTCCAATTTAATCATGAAACCCCCACACTACAGTGACAGGTGTTTCAGTTTCATTGTCCAACCCCTGTATATATATATATATATTTTTTTTTTTTTTTTTTTTTTTTATTTTTTTTTTTTTTTTTATTGCAGCTTTATGGTTGCAAAATTATCCCGTACCTGCAACACAGGGGCAGCCAGCTTTCTACAGTCTCCAGACAACAGTAAAACTCCAGCCTGGTCATATGCATTAAGATGAAGGAGCAGATCTGATAATACAGATTAAGATGTTAAATCACCACATGTTTTCATCTACATGCCCTGTGCAGGAGGTCATGTGTGTACATGTTAGAATGCTGGTCAATAAGTCATGCAAACACAAGCAAAGCATCATGGGTTATAGGAATAAGGTAGAAAAATGGTTTCTCTCTTTGGCTCTCTTTAATGGTGTAGAAACGTCAGAAACAAAAACTTTCAAAAAGCTCTCATTGCTCTGGCCTCAGAGGTCAACATTCTGTACCACAATTTAACATACAGCCTTTATTGAGAGTAAACATTTTGACTGATTTCTCTGGGCTATTCTGGTCTTAAGTTCATCTTAGACAGAAGGCCAGAGACCCCATCAAGCTAATGAACAGACACACAAATCCCTGCACCAAAGATGTGAAAGCATGATTGTCAATGCAACACCTGGTGCTATTTGTCTTAGCAAAGCAAATTCTGTATCGTTTACAAGAAGCACATTCATTAAATGCATCATGTCTCCAGTCCAGAGCATGGTGGCTGGAGCATCATGTTCAGGGACTTTATTCCCTCATGGCCACAACACACTTTTGCTTGCAGTTTCATTGTATTAAGGTCAACTCAAATGAAGGAATTATTGGGTGTATTGCTGCATGGATAAACAAATAACTAAAAATAAAAGTATAATTAATTAATTTATCAATTTAGCATTTTTGTGAGGGGATGTCATTTTAGTCTTTGTCAGAAATGTCCAAGGGCACAGTGGAAATATGTGACCTCCTCTCCTTGTCTTCGATGGAGGATTCAGAACTGCTGCCAGTATCAGATGCCAGGGTCTGATAAAGCCAGAGGCAAGATGGAAAGTGTCCACCCTGGAGCCTGCATTTTAAACCGGATTTTTCCTGTAGCTCTCAGATGAGCTTCAATAGCTCTAACACTTTGCCTTTGTCTTTATATCAATGTTTTATTCAGGTTATTGAAATTAATTCCTAAAAAAATATTTCAATTAACTAGGAAGATACAAAACAGTGATCTGATATACAAAACATATGAAATTCCTCAGACTTTCACACCAAATTTGTGCCTCATAAGCTGCTCAGTAAATATGGTGAAACAACCCCCTGGAAAGTTTCATGGTCGCCTCCAATCTCAAGACTGCAGATCATTTATCTGGTAAACCCATCTGGAAGCTGTGCTTTTGACAAGCTGCATCAGAAACCATGTGGTAATTTTGTCAGTTCACTGCTCAACATGGAATTCACTCATGGGGATAATTAGAAAGTAACAGAGTTTTGAAAAGGCAAAAACTGAGGTTATCCTTGAACAACAAAATGCATATTTAGCCTCAATTTTGGTTTCTTGGCTGAACAGGTAAAATAAACAGTGCAAGATTTAATTTTAGGTCTAATTTAGATATTTTCTTAAACCAAAAAGTTGCACCTCCTCTCAAGTAATTACATGGTATTATTTGTATCAAGATGGAATCAAAATTAAAAACAATATGGTATACTAAGTACAGCCCCAAACCATATAAATGCATTTGAAATATGTCAAACCCTAAAATTTAAACTGGGTCTACATTTTCTTTACCATGAGTGATGCTGGAATAATGTCTATGTTTTTTGCAAGGTACTAGGTGTCGCTTTGTGTTGAGAAATGTGTATCACAATAGATAGGAACTTCCCTGCAAGTAACAAGTGTTACTGTTTGGAAAGCCCAAACCCTTTTTTTGACCATTGCAGTACTGTCATGATGGAACAATTGTTAGACATTGATGTATTTTCTAAACTGGAACTGTGCATAAAAGATATTGAAAAGCAATACACAAAGTTATTGGATAAATGCTTTATTTTACAGTAAAACAAAACGCATTTATTAACAAATGTATGTGGGTCAACACAACTCAATCAACACCTCAGGGGTTTAAAATCTGGGTTTAATCTTAACTTCATTTAGATGATCAATTGGATCATATGTTTTTAACTGCAAAATCTCAAAGAAAATGTTCAACGTACAACTAGCAAGTGTTATGAACAAGTTCAGTCATTACAGGTACTGACTGTAAAATAGTGTTGTAAACACAAAAGGTAGAGGGCAGCTAACTCTGCTGGATAATCAAGAGCTTAATAAAGTTTCTCTAACCTGAACTCAGTTTTTGACATTTAATCTACAACACTTCATGATCTGCCCCACGGAGACTGGAGAACAGAACCATCAGATGAAAGAAAATAAAACCTTTGATGTTTCATATAGAAATTCATCAATAGGAGAACTGGTAAATAATGTCTGCAAACACATTGGAAAACAAATTCAGGACTTAACTTCTGAGACCAATAATGTACTGAATGTGTCTTAGATTCAGCCCACCTGGCTTGACTGGCTTGATGGACGTACCTAAACTGGTGAGATGTTCATTTTCACCTGGACTTTCATAACTATGACTGGTACAGCCTCTGTACATTTGTAATCAGGTTGGGTGCCTATGAAGTCCTTGAAAGAGGACACATAGAGATGTAGAGAAATTGACAACATAGACCCCTGACCCCTGACCTGGCTAAAAACTCTTGGTCTTTAGAGAAGGACACCAACTTTAACCTCTCTAATAAAACTCAAATTAGGGCTCAATCATAAACTCCGCTGAGTAAACTCTGGATGAACCGACTGTGACAAGACTGTTGACTGACATTTTAATGGTCCAATGAGATTGACTGCTGTCTGGAAGATCTATGGGGCATTTTTAGGTAGGGCTTTGACAAAGGAGATTAAATGTAGATCATAAAAACGGAAGGACCTAAGAAAGCTGGGAAAAGTAGGAGACTTATTCATAGGGGTTGCCTTTTATCAGAGTTGCATTCTGCTTATTGGTACCCAGCAAGATGGTCACCAGGTCTCCTGAC